AGCGGCCCATTTACAGCGTACAATTACGCATTGTGACTGAATTATTCGACAAGAATACCATGTACCGTTCGTTAACCGTGTAATTAACCAATTGCTAATTGCTCAGGTTCGCATGAGCTGGTTCACTCACTTTAGGAGGGTACTAATTCATAGTGTGATGCTTTTGTGTCTCCCTCTCCATGTTTCTTGCACTGTGAAGGGAAACATGTAATGTCAAACGCGAAGACGCGGCGAAAAGGACGAAGTCAAGGACAGAAAAACCGTGGCGGGAAAATTGGAATGCAAAGGACACGTGTGCACATCGACGCGCCACGATTATCACTGATCAACGAACTGACACTAACGTATCGATGAAATTGTCTATTTGGGATAGTTCGTGCGATAAAAGTTTTCAGTTATGGCGTAATGATTTTTATACGCATCTGGCCAATCGATTCGTTTCCATTCTGTTGGAAAGTGTTCGTTGCGCTACATCGATTTACTTATACGGGTTCTGATATAGTATTACTTTACTGATAGCATATGAATTTATAATTAAATTTTTAATTTAATTATCAAGTTTTTTAATCAACTTTATTATATAATAATAATTAGAATGCACGTTTGATTTAATACATAATACATTTGAATCATCAGATTCTTTTCCCTTATATTGATAACTAATGACAAATATACACATAATATGTTGCATAATATCTTGAAAAGATAGTTTAAATAACAATAAGAAGATAAAGAAAGTGAAGTCGAATCTTTCGTCCAAAATCTTTTATTTGAGTATGATTAGCTGGAATTTCGAAAAGTAAATCTAAGAGACAGCTCATGGACATCGCCGTAACCTCGAAAAATCCACGATGCATTGAAAGGATACACGTTCCCTGCATACATGTGGTATTTTTTGCGAAGACGAATGTGCCAAAAAGTAAGAGGCAATATTGTCATCGAATCGATACAAGATATTGAGAAATACAATGAAACATATTATTTCTCTGTCATTCGGTACATTTAGAATGCACGAACGTATGTCATTTAAATAACGCCCACTTTTAACTTGAGAAGGAGAGAGTAACATTCGAAGTATAATCTTCGATCGACTTTAATCACTTGTGCAATTAGAAAAGTTATTATCCCTACGTTATAAAACAATTAAATAACTATCACTTCACTATATATTTAATAAGAAAATATTATAAAACTGAGAAAATTTTAACGTATAACAGCATCACAAGAATTTTATCCTGCGCGCGAATACTTATAAATTATGCTACCTACCTTATCAAATACTCGGATTTTCTTAACGGACCTGCGGATAAACACAGGAAGCACAATAACACTATGTCACATGAACGAATATTCGTAAAAACCACTTAAAACAACGATGCAATCACCTCACGAAACGTCACACTCACTTTGGTCGGGCGGCCATTTTGCTACACACGACTCGAGTGAAGAACATTTTGATCTACGAAAGACAGAAGCTTGAAGTTAATACATTACAGGTTGCTAGTGACTTTTGAAATACCAACATTATCCAAACGTTTTTGCGGTATAGTAAACAAATCTAACAGTGGAATATGTTCAAAAATTGACTGGTGTTCTTAATAACATCATTCATTCCTTTAATAAATTGCGAATGGCATTTAGTCATCACTTAAGTGTTGCCAATGTAATTATATTACTGTTTGTATGCATTTAAGCATAATAATTGTGTGTATATATTTACCTACTGACAGTTGCATCTCATAATTTTGATTGGATGACTATATTTTAATACACTTTTTGAATCAAACCTTGCCATATGGCGAAAGCGTATATTTAATGCGGTATTAATTTATATAAAAAAAACTAATTTATAATTAGATTACTGAAATGGCGCCGCAATTGCGAATTTTATCTAATGTCATAGAGGTAATTTGAACATAATATTTAATTTTGTATTTTATTGCTTTCACATAAACTAATTATATAAGTAATATAAATTTTCAGCGTTTAAAGAATATAAAAGATGGTGTAACAGGTCATTTATATGGTGTTATGTATAATAATACATTAACAGTATTAACATTTAGTATAAACATAACAGATAATGTTGAAACCAACCTAAATCACACAATGTTACAATTACATTTATCAGCCGAAGTATATCTTTGTGGCATTTTACATGTTGGACAATGTGAAGAGAAACTTCCTGATGCATTTCAGGTAGAAAAATAAAAAAAATTAAATACAAATAGAAAAAATCTCTAATATTATATTTATTGTAACATATGTATGTTAAAATTATTTAGGACATTGATATCACAGATAATCCATTATTTTTGAAGTATACACATGACGACTTAAAACTAGAATCATATTTTTATATTCATTTAAAACTTGAACCTGTTAACAACGTAAAAATTATTATTGAGAATGATATTTGTCAAGAATTTATTTACATTAGGTTAAGAGGAACCTTACCACTAATTGCACAAAATGATAATATAATGGAAATATTAGAAGAATCTAGAAAGAATGTAAGTTACTTGTGTCTTAGTGAAGCTTTTGTTATTATATTGTAAACTAACTTTCTTTTAACAGATTGTATCAGGAAAAATAGGAATTCATTTTCCAGCAAAAAATGCATTTCTTTTTAACAATGAAAATATTACAAAAGATATATCTTTAAAAGAAGTTCTAGGCATATCTGATTATTGCAATGGAACTAAAAATGTACAGAAGGATATAATAAAATGTATAGGAACAGTGGTATGTATTTTATTATGTTTCATAGTATTTGCTATTTCTTTCATATCATTAAAAAAAGATTATATCTGCTTTACTACACTATTAGGATGCTGTAAATGCTAATATACTTTTAAAAATATCTGGAGATAAACTTTCTGAAGATCATATTAAGTATGCTCCAGTACTTCAATATATAAAACGTAAGAATTACATTTATTTTTATTATGTTTTTAATTTATAATGTTAAGTATTATCGTGACATTTTTAAATATGCAATTAATAAATGCAAGGAAATGTAATATTTCTGACATAGGACCATTTAATAGTTTGGAATGTAATTTATTTATTGATACATTGTCTTTGGTCAACATTAATGTAAGTTCAGCAGATTTGTATGGGATATTGGTAGAATCCATGTGTCGAAATATTAAATTGGTGGAGAAATGTTTTGAAAATCAACTTCAAAAATCAGAAACACCCATTAAACTTCCAGTACCCATACATTTTAAACCTCAAGGTTTTGGACATTTGATTACAGTGGTGTATCCGAGTGGTTATACCGATAAAGATACAAGTAAGTTTTCAATTTTACAAAATATCAAGTTTTTTGTATTCATATAATATATGTAATTATTTTTTAAGTATGTGATTAAATTTCAGTGGAGTATCGTGAAAATTTACATAAAATTTTGGGATTAAATATGACTAGACCTTATTTCCGTTATGGAAATGCTGTAAAATTTTCTAGTGATTCAGAAATAGGAAACATACTCATAAATCCTCATGAAGCAATTGTGTTAAATGATGGTATGTTTAATGTAACAATGATTATATTATATTACATTATACTATATTGCATCACATTATTTTATATTACAATTTCGTAATGTTTTCATCAATTTTTTAATTAGCTATAGTAAATAGTAATAGAAAAGTACAAATTGTACAAGGTTTGTATACATATCACCATTATATGCAAGATAATTTTGATGATAATGGATGGGGTTGTGCATATAGATCTCTACAAACCATTATTTCGTGGTTTAGGTAATTTCTATATTCAAATAATTGTAAATATATAAATTTTATTTCATTTTATGTAATTATAAATTGATCATTATAGGTTACAAGGTTATACCGAAATACCAATACCCTCCCATCGTGTAATACAAAAATGTTTAGTTGGTATATCAGATAAACCTTCCAATTTTATTGATAGTAAACAATGGATTGGTTCTACGGAAGTAGGTTTTGTACTAGACATTCTTTTGAATATTAGTGTTAAAGTACTCTGTGCATCTACAGGTGAAGAAGTATCATCATTAGCTCCAACTCTTCTACATCACTTTCAAACACAGGGTACACCAGTAATGATTGGTAATTAGTTCTTTTTTCTCATAAATAAAATTGATTATTCATTTTTTTTTAACTTTGTATAAAATAAATCCTAGGTGGAGGAGTATTAGCACATACAATTTTAGGAATTAGCTATGATCAAATTACTAGAGATGTTAAATTCCTAATTTTGGACCCACATTATACAGGTCCTGAACATTTGCCAACTATAATAAATAAAGGTTGGTGTGGATGGAAATCAAAAGATTTTTGGAAAAAAGATGCGTTTTACAACATGTGTCTTCCACAGAGGCCTGTATGCATCTGATTGTGTTAAATTCAAAATTCAAAACAAATTGTGCATAACAACACTGACAGTGTTCAAAAATGTTAATCATTAATTAGTAAATTCAAAGCAATGTAGTATAAATTGAATGCTACAAATAATGTATATTATATATATTATATATATGATATATATGATATATATATATATGTGTGTGTGTCGTTAAAATGGACATGCAATTTTTATTATATCTTATTATGTAACTATTTCCATATAACAGTTGATGTCCAAAATTGTTGAGCTTTAAAACATTGTTACTTGTATTTATTTTCATTTTATAGTGAAAATTAATTGCATATGAAATGCATTTTCAATATAACATTATGAAAAAATTAAGAAACATAATATTTATTCTTAGGATGCAAATAACCATTCCAATTTCCTATATTGATATTTTAATGTGAAATGTCTTTTACCGCATAAATTTCGAAGCGCGTTTAATACTTATTCCGAAATTTTATTTCTCTGTGATTAACTTTTACTTTATAACTTATCCTACTTTATAAAATAAATGAAATATGTTCGAATTCTTCATGAAAATATTAAATATTGCGACAATAAATTTATATTCAGTTTAAATGTTTAAGATATTCTCCTTAAGGTTGATGGATTCATAGATAAATATTTTGTACATTTTTATCTTTAAATTATTAGAAATTCGAGAGTGATTATCTTTACATTGTAGTTTATAATTCAAGTATGTATTTTCAAGCCTATTCAAGAATTTAAATGTTATATCTTTTGTTCCATATTTCTCTTAAGATTCTTATATATTTTTTGTGTAATCTCAAGTGAATGTTCATCTCTGTAAGAATATTATTTTACTTTATTCAATTTAGGAGAAAACTATAAAAAATAGGCATCCTTTAAAAATTTGTTCAAGTTTTTATTATGTAAGCAAATGTAATTCATTACTTTTGGAAAGTAATATGTACATTTTTGAAGTAAGAAAGAGATACAAGTTCCTTTGATAAACTGAGTCAAAATAAAAATAATTACTTAGATTCATTCTTTGAACTTCTGAACAATGAGATTTAGTATCTTCAACATTTAAATTATAAACTGGAGGTTATATATATTATAACTGTTGAAACATTAAAACTACTACTCCTACCAATTAGCAAGTTCCTAATTTTCATCACATTTTTTTATAGAATTAGAAATTGTTTTGTATAAACTTATATGAAATTAAATGCACTTATGTATAAAATTATTATTATGCTTAAATGTTATTTAATATAATATATTATTAAAGTAGCATGTAAACATTAGAAAAAATAATATACTTATTGTAATATTATAATTATAATACACTATATTTCAATGATTTTCTAACAAGCTAAAAAATTTTACAACTATATATAAGTTGAAATGTACATTTTGTAAAATATACAGTAAATTTTTTGTATAAAATATATTTTAAAAGATGATTTTGTTGAAGAAAATATCTAATTCTCATTATTATTTATTCAATATTAAATACTCTCATTTATCATATATGCAAATATCTTCTTCATTGTATAGAAGAAATAAATTTTTATATTTTACAATAATACAACTATGAAATGCACAATTTATTTAATATTACATATTTCCTACAGACTTTTGTAAAAGTTGTGCAAAACGATTTGTAATTAAAAGTGAAACATCTATAAATCTATCGACACAATTACTTAAACATGTTTCTGTTCGACCATCCAATTTGACTCCTGGTTTATCAACACATTTTTCCCAACAAATATCGTTGAATTCATGGATCTAAAATTATATAATAAATTTAACGTGATAATTATTAATGAAAAATGATTATCTAATGTAAACATGTATATGGATAAGACTAAATGCATTAACCTCTATAATATGTTACAAAAAAGAAAAATGATAAATAATGTTAAGAAATCTATAAATGATAAGAAAAATAATTTTTAGTTATAAATTTATAATGTAGGAACTGTTTTACCTGAGCTTGAATTTGTGCTTTTTGTTTCTCAGCTATAAAAAATTCTTGTAAATCTGATTCTTTAAATTTACTATTATCTGTAAGATCGTCAGTAGCCATTTTTTTAGATATATCTTCTATACTATGTTCTACAAAATAATTTAACTAATATTTCCCAAAATTAATATATTAATTTTTATGGTACACACGTGGTCTCAAAAATTAATAATCACCAAAATCGTTGTTTACGACTGAGTATCTAGTGCTATTATGCATACTCCATAGGAACTAGTTTTTATTCCTGAAGTATAAAATGTTACTATATTTTTACTAGATGACATGAAAAATTTAGTATTTAGTTATAATAACTAATCAGTAGATTTTTAATACAAATAATTATATTTAGATTACAATGATACAATAATATAGTCGAAGTATAAAAATATAACATATAATGAAAGAAAAGAATCGATTTAAGACTTTATAGTAATTAATATAATAATTTAAAAAGTGGTTATTATACTACTTGTTGAATAAAAGATTGATATAAACAATTATATATAATTTTTTATGAAAACATATAAAAAATTAATATGTGCTTATTATTAATAAAAAGATCGTACTTATATTAATGTAAATGTTCATAGTTTATCTATAAATAACACTTTGAAAAATTCACTTTATTTTATTTTCTTTGGAATTTATCAACACATATATGTATGTAATGAAATTCATTTATAAAAAAAGCATCATAAATTATGTAGTCAATTTTTGATCATGCCAATGCACTGTTATATTATGATTTACAACGTTATGTTATTTTATCGCATATTATATATTTTAAATTGTATAATAATAATATGTAGGTAATAATACGTGTACAATAATAAATAGTATATAATGGTATAGTAATAATTGATTATTTTAATATGTAACGCAAATGTAGTTTTATTATATGTATATTTAAAATATATAAAAATACATAAGTTGGTTTAAAAACTTAATATATGTAGACTACATTTCATCAATATTCACTTAAAAATGATTCTACTTGATAATTATATTCCTATGGCTGATAAAAGCATCCAATGAAATCTTGGTGGTTTAATTTTGTTTACTAGTCATCTTTTAGTGATAGAATAATTTGTTTTTACGATTATAATATATGTCTTGTTTTTCTGTTTGATTTGTTTATATTTCTCATAATTATTTAAGTATCGATCTTACAAATCGATTATTTTCAATTTTTACACATTTTTTTAAAATCTTTTAGAAACTTTAATTTTTATTAAAACAAAATTATTCTATAATTTATTTATTTTGAACAAAATTTCAAATGTATTGAATTATAAATATATTTATAAGACGAATTTATAATATTTGGTTCAATATTCATTTTTATTGATATTATTTGATTACATATCATCAATGTTATTTTTTCGTGGATTTAATAAATTTATGAATGATATATAATAAAAGAAATGACGATTGCGATAAATTGATTTATTTAAATAAAATTATTTAAAAAGATATTATAAATTTAATTAAATTTTATGGTTGCAATTATACTACGCACCATCAACAACTAATACGAAAAAACAGAATTATATAATTTGAAATTTCAATTTCGTCACGGCTGTTAAATATTTCAGTAATTACCATGCTTGAGTCACGCCAGATATTACGAGACCATTCGGACGTCTATGTGTGGAACAGAGAGTCGAGAATCAACAGTTCACTACATCACGTGCAATTGATCATGCCACTTGTGGATACGGCCCTGAATGCCGGCTGGTCTCTTAGCCGGCGCGGAACGTAGCGGCGCTGCATTTCAGGAACCGTCGTCGACGGCGTCATCACTGTCATAGTTCGATCGTTGCGTTCTAACGATCATTCCCTCGAGGGAGAGAAACCGAACGGAGTGGAACCGTGTCTTTTAAGGCGTACATTGGTATCGTCCGAAGTACGCCGACGTCACGGTAGTGTGTGCGCGTGTATTTGTTTGATTGCATGATCATTGACAATGACCATGACCGTGGAGGTTTACTACGACGGTTTTCGAACTTTTTCTTGGCTTGCTGATTTCATCGACTTGCCGATTGACCAGGTGAGAAATTTATCCTTTTGCTTTCCTCAAAAATATCCAATTCTCTTATTTCTTCTCTACCGTCCAAAAGGAGCGTGTATTGATCGAAGTTTAGATTACGTTGGATATCTGTCGGTTTTACTAAGTATTCTTCTTACGATTGAACTTGCTGTACTTAACGCTGGATTTCTCTTCGTCAAGGTTAAGGTTCGTCACGCCTTGAACTAACGTTATCGAGGTAGCAATATCATAAACCATCGTTGGTTATCTTTCGTATAAACATAGGTGTTCCAATGCATGTCCATAATATAGTAGGAAGAACGTGTAGAACAACAACTACCGATTCAATAATTCGAAGGGTTAACCATTTGTTAACGACTTCTTTGTATTGTAATTTATACGGTATACATGCATAAGATTGGTATAAACATCATTCAAATTGCTTTCGTAGAGTTTCTACACAGTATAGCTATAAATTGTATTGGATTAAAGAAACGATTTTGATTGGACATAGCCTTTTTTTCCTATACGTATTAGCTTTATCTGGCTTTCCTATGTGACTTATCAAACGTTAGACGTTAAACAAGAAAACCTTCATTTTCGAAATTTCTAGCACACTGTTTAACGCTGTAAAGTGTGTAAAGTATATAAATACATGGTGTGACAAGAAAATCAAAAATAGCATCGGACATAGTGTGTTTTGTGAAAATATGTCGACGTTTAATCTAACAATGCGAACATGCGATTTCAGTGTGATTCGTTTCCTTGATAAGATCAAGTTCGTGCACGGTCTGACGTTGTCCTAGCGTGCGATTATCGATAATACTTAGAGATTCCATGGCGCGATAAGGTTATCGATAAAAGGCAGGTGAAGTCACGTGCGGTCCTTCAAAGAAATTCGTGAAAGCAATAGGAGCCGATGTACCACGAAATATGTATATTCTGTAAATAGAATGACCGGTGAGTGTATTCGGAGACAATCTATGCTATATGAACTTTATCGGATGCAACAGTTGGAAAAGTTGAGTGCAACGTGGACTAATTTCACACGGATGGTTAATGTCTGTCGTATACGGGTTATATAAAAAAATTAACATTTTGCCGTGAATAAAAGTAACGAAGGCATAATGTTATTGAAATTTTTCAATTAAATTTTAATAAAATGAACTTTTTCATGTAAAAGCTGTTTATATAAATATTTGTATGATATTTATTAAATGCCAAGGTAAATATTATTTTCGATAATAATCACCCGCCATTTTGATAACTAATATCACACCGATATCTTATACAAGTAGCTATATTCGAATATTTTTTAAATACAATTTCATTATTTTTTAGCAATCAGATTTAATTATTTCTCTAATCATTTATAGGTGTTTCTCGAAATTGGCACACGCAGACAAATCGGGGACACGTATTTTAGAGGTGTCAGGCTATCCCTTTTTGCCCGTTGAACGGTAGTAATTGTATCCTGAAAATTGCCGTGCAGTAACGAGCAGCGGGTGCAATTTCGCAGCCGTTGAACGGTTCGAAAGGAGTCGTTTCAAACGTCGTTCCTCCGTGTTATTTTTAGTCGAATTTTTTTCCACTATTTTCATTCATAGGACGTTAGAAGCAGTTATGCTGTTGCGAATGAAGTTCGAACGATTAGCAATTATATCGTGATTACGATGGGTGGAATAATCGCTAATACCGACTGAGTTACACCTTACACATTACAGTTAATCTTATTTAGACGTGCATTACAAGGTAATAATACATTTTCATTTGTTGTTAGATCTTATTTTTTTGTTTTTTCTATTTCTTTTTTTTTTAACACTATTAATAATATTAAATTTTCTTTTACTCTGATAACACTAACAGTTAGCACCAGCTTATACGATGAACTTTGTTTCGGTAATTTATACACACAGTCATTACCATTTATAATATTCCCTGGCGTTACTTCGCAGGAAATACAATGTATACGTTTTGCTTCTTTATTAGTTTACTTCTTAACATTTGGGTGAGTTTAGATTACGCAAATCATTTTTACACTGAACTATCTCGTTGTGCGATTTGCATATGCATTAATATAAATATTTGACCTGTAGAGCGTATGAAGAAAAAGAAAAATTAAACACGATGTCGAGGTTTGTTTCCGTACGAGGTATCGTGACCTGTTGTCGAGGCTTAATTTTAGAGCTGCATGAGATACTTGAACGTCATCGATTGGAAGCAATGCAATTTGATGCAAGAGGACGTTCGAAGAAGGGGGTTCATTGTATACCGTACAAGAAACTTTATCGGTGAATTTGTTTAAATTACACTTCCGACTTACTCGGTCAGCGACGGACAATGTCAGTTTTTTTTATTTATAACATTAATTGCGAACCATTTCAATATTGATAATGGGATGAAGAATATCTTTAATGAACGTACAAATATTTTCAGGGTTTTTTATTACATACACCGATTGTTTTAGCATGCGAAGTTAGTAAACAGAAGAAGAAGAGGAAGAAAGTAATACGCAATTGTTTTTTTCCACGACTATCTAGTAACGGCGCAGTAATAATTACGTATGATTCATTCGACATCGTCTGAGCATAACACAGTGACCCCGTTTCTTAGCTGCTAATTCCATTGATTCGTTTTTAACGTACCGAAGAACAAGTTTTAACTTGAACGTTTACGTGCGATTGAGGTATGCTTACACCCTATATAACAATCGCCTTCCAATGAAGAATGCATCAGGAGCTAAAGTCGTAATGCCGTTCGAAGAATGTGTAACAAAACACGACCGTTCTCTATTTTTGAGAAGCGACGTGACTAGGGTTCCTGTTGCGTTTCGATGGACTACTAGCCCTCGACAAAAAGATCACGTGCCGTAGGTGTTCCGTTATTCTAAACAGAGGCACGAATTACCGATGCTCCGAAAAACATGTTTGTCCGGTTTCAGGACGGCACATAGTCTCGCTCTAGATTGCCCGAGATTCATGTTTATGGGCGAAAGGGACATAAAACTATGCACATCTTGCATGGTCTTGTTTTATTCATTTTTATTCGTTGCTAGAAACATTAAATGCTTTCTTGAACAGTCAGTTAAATGAGCCGTGTATCGTATTTAAATAAATTTGAATAGCGTTTAATTAGTCTAAATTCACAGTATGCTAACTGTGCGCATACGTGATTAACATATTGCTTTTGAAGGTTCGAGACAGTTTTAAGTTATCTTAATGAATTTAAATTTATCTAGAGACGTTTGGAGCATTAATGCCGGATTATAATCGTAGGTGACTTATAATGTATTTAAATATATTAGAGGTCAGTTTAATATCTTACAGAAACTTCATTAATTGTTCTATATTATGAATGTAAATTTTACTTTGTTTAATAAGGAATTTTGTTCATCGCTTTATATCATTTTTATCTTATCAAGGTTTTTGCTGTAAGTTAATTCTAATTTTGAACACTTATAGGTTATATAGAAACCTTGTATGAAATTATTTATTTTATCATTTCTTGATATTGTTTGCCTAGAAAATATACTGAACCGAAAAAGATGACTCGGATATCAGTGTAATTCCTGTATCTTCACTCGTGTTAGTTATAATACTGAACATCCTAGATAGATATACTTTTCGATGAGAACACGTCTCAAAATGATATGATTAATAATCGGTGACTCATTAATGCTCTACCATGATTTTCATTTCCTTTCTTAATACATAGCTATTTCGAAGATCGACGGTCATTTTTCATTATTATTTTTTTAATTATAACTTATTTCGCATTAACCCTGATGAAGGTTTTTACACTTTTCGTACTAGGTGTTTGTTGTTATCAAGATTGTAAAACGAAGCATGGTTAGTCAGGCGTTGTATGAGTTGTGTGTTAGTCATGTAATTCAGCAAGTGAAGAATTTATTCCGAATCCGAACGTCAGGTATTTCGATTGGTTATCATTCTTTTTTCTATGTCTTTATTTTCGTTGACGCAGTTAGCTCGGCTATTATATCATTGCAACGCAATGTGGAATGTTTAACTAGCAGCTAACGTCGCTCTAATACTTTATTCCGATATATTTATTCTCATTTTAGTTCCATAGAGTGCATTACTGTATATCAGGTCTTAAAATAACGCATATGCGTATTTCTTTCAACCTGAAGGCTCGAGTAATATTTACTTGACCATTCTTATTTATCCGTAAAGATATGAAATGTTGCTGCAATTAAGATTCACATTCTTCAGTAAAACAGGATTAAAGAAAGTGCTTCATTTCCTTTAGAGCATAACAAATAAGATTATTCAATGATTGTACGTGTAGTAAGTATTGTCGAAATCATATTATCTTGGTATTAATGACTATGCTTCGATTAATATGTGCTCATTGCGTGTGAATTGTCATAAAGTCAGCTTGATCATCTTTGAATGACAGAATAGTGATTATATTTTCACCGATATTAAGCAAATTGTTTTGGAATGATAGAGTTTGTAATTAACATAAAAAAGTAATGAATGAACGTCAAATTTAAATTAACGCGCGCTGTTATACACATTCCAAAGTTCAACAGTGATATGCACAAACGTTTATAACACGTCGAAAGTGCAACTTAAGCTATTATGATTTTGTTTGAACAAAAATTGACATTAATTCCTCTAATTCTAAGCATTGTGAAATATTACTTCCACATAAATGTTCATGCAATATACATCGCTATTAATACCTTTCATAAATATGCAGATTTGCTTTTTAAAATTGTTTATCATGTTTTTGTCCAGCATCTTGTATATGTTTTAGAAGTAGTGACTTCTTTTCTTCATCATTTTAAATTGTACACAGAGTAGATTATTACAATTTCAATTTTTATGTAACAAACGTACTTAAATTATTATGTTATCGGAAGTGGGATAATCGATAGTTGATGTGAGAATGATACATATACATGGGTCGAAAAATTATTCGATAGCGTTTGAGAATGCAGTTGCATTTGATTAATTTGGCTACGATTTGTAATGGAAACGAAACTAAGGTTTTAA